AAATAAGCAAGGTCTCTTCGAATATGGTATTCAGGCCATTTTCAAACCTTCTAGCTTTACTCTCATCATCAGTAACAAGAAAAGAAGCAAACTTTAACAATTAATCAAATTTAGCCTTATAATCATCCACAGCCATGCTACTTTGAACTAGATTAAGAAACTCCCTTTTCCACTTCCAACAACTTACTTTGAGAAAAATATTTTTGTATAAAAAGTAGTCTAAAAGTTATTCCAAGTAAAGAATTCAAGATCTCTCTCATATGTGCTAGCTATACCCTTTCACTAATTATTTGCATTACCTTGTAGTAAGTAGGTAGCAAATCTAATCTTATCTTGCTCTTAGATACACATAGCATCAAAAGCTTTCTACATTTCTTTAATCCATAGCTCGGCATCATCAGGGTTCATAGAACCCTTAAAAACAAGTGGTGCTATCTTCTCAAACTCACCCAAAACTTTTTCTTTTCGTAGAATTGTCAACATATTGCATTGATGGTTGGAGTTACCGTTGATCTCTTACCAAATCGATAACCTCATCAATCAAACCTAAGACCATATCATCATACCCAACCATAGCACATAATGCTCATAAAGTCTGAATAGCAAGAAACCAATTATTACCAGTACCTTTTTTAGCATTTAGTGTAACAATATCACCCTAATCTTAGTTTTGGCAATGTGAACTATGGTATCTCTAAGGATGAGAACTCTTAGAGCTACCAACCCTAGCATTAGCTATGATCTCAGCAAGATTAAGTTTATAATAGTGACGAGATGACATACTAATTCAATCACAATAGCAAACATATTTAAAAAATGCATTTTCATCAACCAAAAATAAAGCAAGACTAAAAAAAGAAGTAAGAATAAAAAAACATTATAAACTTAAGTTTTCTACCCCACACTTATCATATGCAAATGTGTCTAAACCATTAAAAAATATTGTTTGTGCAAAACTAAGATTGAGAAACCTAGGCTTTGATACCACTAAATATGTAATGCCCCGAGCAGAGCGTAACAAATGTCGTACACCTACAAGGTGTGATTTTACAGATATGCAAGGCTAGAAATATATTAAGACTTATAAATATAAATAAGACAAACAAGACTAAAAATGAAAAGCTCATAGCATTTAATATCTTTTATCACAAAAATGAAGTACTTATAAAAATTCATAAATCCTGAAATATCTAGTTAAAGTTATAAACAAGTAATTATAAAAGTTTGTACATCTAAGCATCTAAAAGAATCCTAAAGGTCCTATAACGGTAACTAAAGTTTTGGAGCATCATTCCCTGAGATCTCCACTAGCATAATCAAAACCCAAACCTGTAAAAAAATATATTAAAGAAATAAATAAGTACAACTACTCAGTGAGCAACTGACATCCCCTTAGTTGAATTAAGCATGCCACAAAATATTTTGGCTAAAACAATAACTAAATGATTTGAAATTATTTTAGATAATTTTGTATTCAAACACATTTTCGTAAATCATATCTCTAAACTAGCATCTCAAATTTCAAAGTAAAATAAAACATTATAAAATCATAAAGTTTATTAGTCTCTCGTAACATGCTACGACCACACTTAATCTCAATGATATAGGTTAGAATCAAAACTTTCCTTTTAGTGCAATGAGACAAAGGTATATCAGAAGCAACCAAGTAGTTGCACTGAACACTCATAATTAACTCGTTAGTGCAATGGGACAAAACTAACTTGTTAAGTGCAATGGGACAGAAGCATATCACCGATGGTATAGTGAACAAAAACCACTATTCTCAATCGGTGGCACAATTTAAAACCGATATCGATATCACAAAATACATGTCAACATGGCCAATAATTAACCCTCTTTGGCAGGATCAAAACATAGTCATACTAGAAGACAAAAATAAAATATATTTTCAGATTATCTAATATAGACCAAATCGATATTCATATACCTTCTCAAAAACATAATCCGTACAAAGTCAATTCCATAACTAATCCAAAACAAAATTTCATATTCCTACAATCCATGGGTATATAAATATATATTGATACGGAATCATATTCGAAAATTAAAATAATATTAGACCATATTCCAAACTTATAATAAAGAAATCATATATCTATTTTTGCATGCTCAACCTGATTTACAAAATAATATATATTATATATTTCAACTCTAAACATATTGAGGCTAATTTTTAGGGATATAAAAACCCAAGGGATATCAAGTCACTTAGTTGATCAATAAAACTAAAACTTAAGCAGCAAATCACTCAATTCTCTTAATATCCTAATAACTCAAGATATATTCAAAAATCAAAATTTATCCCGATACATGGATTTAATAAGCCAAACTTTCATCAAGTCATCCTAAGCATATTGAGTTATATAGCAACCTTTTCAAAAACTTGAAACTATATGAAAGTATTTTTTTTTTGGTAAATCTGAATATAGCTTAATAATCATTTAACAATATTAATAATATGGAATTAACAAAATAAAAATATATTAAAATAAGTAAAAAATTATTAAAAATAATATAACTAAAACTCATGTAATTTATAACTAAGTAAATCAAATATTGGCTGGAAATAATTTTTTAAAAAAATAATTAAAAACAAAAATTTTTAGATTCTAAAAATTTCATATTCTGTGATCATTTGGCTTACTTTAAGTCACAAAAACTCGAGCATCCTACAGTTTCTAATGACAAAGGGAGACAAAAATTTAAAGTAGGGATATAATACTAAACCTAGAATTTTGTTTCGGTAAAAATGATTTCCAAAACCTAAGTTTAGAAGGCCAAAACTTCATAATTTATCACAAACAACCCAGATTTTCTGAGTTTCAGATTTATGAAGCCTACTTTGGAGTTTCAATTCTCTTAGCCTATAAATCATTTGAAGAAACCAATTGTACCATTAAAAAGTTCATATTTCGTACTATCAAAAGCACCTAAAGTTTGAACAAATTGGCCATCAGAGTAAGGAGTTTTGACGGCTTAAATTTGGGTGTCTACAATTATCAAAATCCCAAAAATCATAAACTTGAAATACTAAATTCTCCTAAATTACTCAACTAATTGAAACGCCACACATACCATTAGAAAGGTCCTAAAGAGACCTTTTCATTGGTACTCACAATTTCATCGGATTGTCATTGAAAAGTCCCCATAATATTTTTGAAGATGTAAAGATACAAAAATCTAGTTTGTGGTTTGTAAAAAATTACGCAAAGCATGAAAATTCTAGGAGTTTTAAGCAAAATTTTATCTAAATCAAAGATTTTTAGAATTGATTTGCCCTTGCTCTTTCTCTTTTCTTCTTCTTGAGGGTTAGCTTTCCCAAAATCTTTAACTTCTTTTTCTGACAAAAAATAACACCGAAAGTAAAACTACATGTATATTAAAAATATATGTTAATAAAATACTTTTATTGTAAATAAAAGTTCTATTGGGTCAAGTTTTTAATTATGACAAAATATGGGTTGAAAAATAAAATTTTAAGAAATAAGTTTTTTTTTTAACAACATAATCATATAATATAATTCAAACCATAGACTAATTTTGTAGGTATTACAGATAAAGATGTCAAAACAATCTGTATTCAACGAGTTTCGATCATCTCAATCCGATAAGGGGCAATTTTTTAAAAATCGAGATTAAGTTAAGACAAGTCGAGTTTTATTTTACAAAAAAATGAAATCAAGTCATAAGCATATTTATAATATTTTATCTCAACTCATTTTGACGTATATATAAAATCATATATTTTATTATTTATTTAGTTTTATAAATATATATGTATTATGTTAATAAAATAATTTTTTACCTAAGTTAAAATTTTTATATCTTAAGCTTAATATAAGATGTCAATATATCACCTTCTATTAGTTTTTTTTTTCTTTTTTTACTCAATATTAGTTCTTTTTCACTTTTTTTCGTTTACCCTTTCCTCACTTTTTTGTTTTTGTTATTTATTTTTTAGATTAGTTTTATGAGAAAAGGGGACTAATTAAGATATCTACATTTCATTTCCCTTTTTTTTCCTTTCACTTTTTAAATTTGATAAATTTTGGAAAAAAAAATTATGAATAAATATGACAAAACAAAAAAGTTTTGACCCATGATTAAATTAGACAATTCAAAACACGACACAAAAATGACATGAAATTAATACGAAAAAAAAAAAGTGATATAAATTAAAATTTTAGTAAAAATTATATATAGAATAGAAACCAAAAAATATATTCGGTGTGTTAGTGAAAAAATGAATTATAAAACAATTTTCTTATAAAATATAATACAATTACACAAATTCTCATCAATTTATATGGTATAAATATCTGAATTATTATATTTATTTGTGATAACGCAATACCCTTTTCAGTCTCTATAAAATTAAGCCACTAGAGCCCACGTCTTAAATGTTTAGGTGAAGGTACTCCAAAAAATCTGATCATATAACTCAAGACTTCATAAGAAGAAGAGAAATCTTCTACCCGCAAGTTCAAAAGCAAAAAAGGTTACTGAGTTTAATAGGACTGCGTAAAAACGTTGTTTCTTGCCACCTAGAAACATGAGTTACACGACTGTGAAACTCTTGGTAATTATCATTATCAAGCAATTCCAACGGTTGAACCATTGCGTCATATATTAATGGTTCTTTACCATTGGCCAAATATTTCCGCAATTCTACATTCTGGCTTTAAATCTGCTACAAAAGGAAAAAAAAAATGTCTTTAGCATTAAATTCACCAAAAGTCAAATCAGGAGATTTAATCATATTAATAACTGGACCATCCGGTTGTTAAACTTTTACATCTTTTTATGTATTTTCATTAAATTGCGGTGTCCTCGAATGAGTTCCTGTTTTGGGTTTGTTTCTCCTTTATATTTCTTATGTAATTATATTCTTATTGCCGTTTTTTCTAGAACTCGGTATTTCCAAAAGCATGAAGCACGCTTTTCCGAATTCTGGCAGTTCGTTCTAATTTTTCTTCCAGGGGATTTTACTTTTGTGGATGACTTCATGTCTGGAATTTGCAATAATACATACTTTCGCAAATGAATATGATGGAGTTGCTTTGCTTGATTTCAAAAATCAGGTAACTCAGGATCCTCTCCAAGTCATGGCTTCGTGGAACAATTCCGTTCATTTTTGCATCTGGGTTGGTGCCAGCTGTAGCCCATCGAATGGAAGAGTAGTAATTCTGAACCTGTAGGGTCAAAAGTTAGTTGGCTCCATACCACCTTCCATAGGAAACCTTACATTCCTCACTGGAATCAACCTCAAAAAATTGGCTTCAATGGTGAAATTCCTCAAGAAATTGGTCGCCTATTGCGCCTGCAGCATCTCAATTTGACATACAATTTCTTGGGAGGAAAAATTCCTACTGATCTAACTGATTGTACAGAACTTAAAACACTTGGCCTTGGTGGCAATGGGTTTATTGGGCAAATTCCAAGCCAACTTAACTCATTGTCAGAGTTGAGAATTCTGGAGCTAGGAGCTAACAACCTTACCGGAACTATCCCAACTTGGATAGGTAACATTTCTTTCTCTTTATGCTCTTTCGTTAGCACTAAATAATTTATAAGGAATCATACCTGAAGAACTTAGCAAGCTGTCGGGCTCGGGAATTTTTCAGCTTTATGGAAATTGTCTGTCTAGTACGGTTCCTCCTCCGATTTATAATATTTCCTCCATATACTACTTTTCTGTCACTCAAAACCAGTTTCAGGGACATCTACCGCAAGATGTTGGCATAACGCTTCCTAATTTACAAGTATTTGCTGGTGGTGTCAACAATTTTACAGGTGCTATCCCGGTATCATTGGCAAATGCTTCTAAACGTCAGATAATTGACTTTGCTGAAAATGGTCTTACTGGGACCATACCTGAAAATCTTGGAAGTCTTGGAGATTTAATTAGACTAAATTTTGATGATAACAAACTTGGAAACGGGAAAAGTGGTGACCTAAGTTTTTTCAATTTCTTGACTAATTTTTTTACTCTAGAAGTATTAGGTCTTGCTGGAAATCGTTTTGGAGGAGAACTGCCCAGCCCTGTAGCCAACCTTTCAGACAAATTGAAAATTTTTACCATAGGAAGTAATCTGATTCATGGAAGTAACCCCACTAGGATTGGAAACCTTGTTAATTTGTACTCTCTAGAAATGGAATGCAACCATTTAAGTGGTACCGTACCTGATGTTGTTGGGAAGCTTCAAAAACTAGAAGGATTGCATCTGAACTTTAATAGATTTTCAGGATCGATACCATTTTCATTTGGAAATTTAACTTCATTAATTAGGCTCTTTATGGAAGACAATAGATTTGAGGGAAATATACCTCCAAGCCTGGGAAATTGCCAAAATTTGCTTGTACTGAATTTTTCTAGTAATAATCTCAGCAGCAGCATACCTTGAGAGATTGTGGCCCTTTCTTCACTTTCAATTGCTTTGTCCATACCTCATAACTCTTTGAGTGGCTCAATTCAAGTTGAAGTGGGTAACCTGAACAATCTTGTGGAGTTAGACCTAGCAGAGAATAGACTTTCAGGTGAAATTCCTAATAGCCTTACTAGTCGTATGAATTTAGAACGCCTGTATTTGGAAAGCAACGGATTTGAAGGAATTATTCCTTTATCTTTGAAGTCTCTAAGAGGTCTAGAAGAAATAGATCTTTCGCGCAACAACCTGTCCGGGCAAATTCCAGAATTTCTCAGCAAGATTTTTTCTCTGAGGCATCTCAATCTCTCTCATAATGATTTTCAGGGAGAAGTATCACAAGCAGGCATATTTGCAAATGTAAGGGCTTTTTCCGTTGTTGGAAACAATAGGCTTTGTGGTGGTGTCCAGGTCTTGCATTTACCAACATGCACCAGAAAAATTCCAAGGAGACGTCTTCCTTCGAAGATAGTAATCTTTATTACAAGTGCAGTCATATTTTTTGTTCTTGCCTGTTCCTTGTCTTCATATTATCTAGTAAGAAACTTGAAGAGTCAATCCAGTGCATCATCCTCCAAGGAACGGCAATTCGGTATGTCCTAGAATCAACTAACGGCATCTCTGAAGAAAATTTGATTGGTTTGGGTAGTTTTGGTTCCATATATAAAGGAATTATCTCCACTGATGGAACATTTGTTGCAATTAAGGTATTAAACCTTCAACAGCAAGGAGCATCTAGGAGTTTTATTGATGAATGCAATGTTTTGAGAAATGTGTGACATCGTAACCTCCTCAAGATCATTACTGCTTGCTTTACTATTGATCATCAAAAAAATTACTTCAAATGTCTTGTATATGAGTTTAATGCCTGATGGAAATCTAGATGCAGTGCTTGCATCCTGAAGCTAATTGTGCAGGTATGGAAAGGCATGAACTAAGCCTTTGTCCAGAGACTTAATATTAGCCATCGATTGCTTCTGCTTTGGATTATCTTCATCACTACTGTGACACGCGAATTGTTCATTACGATCTAAAGCCGAGCAATTTGCTCCTTAATGCAAATATGACCGCACACGTTCGTGACTTTGGATTGGCAACCTTCATCTTTAATTCATCTAGCAATGCCTCCAGGAAACAAGCCATTTCAGACAGGCTAGAGGGTTCCATAGGGTACATTCTTCCAGGCATGATTTTCATTTTGATGGATCACTCTTCATATAATTAACAATTTCTATAAGAATAAATCAAGTAATCATAAGCAAAATTAATTCAATATTTTCAATTTTCAAATTCTAAAGTGCCTTTAAACAACTAAAACAATTTACTGTATTGAAAAATATTCGTTTGTACATCGATACAAAGATGGCTAATTTTGATCTATTACAATTTGCAGAATATGGCATGGGCGGCCAAGTTTCCATAGACGGGATATTTACAGTTATGGGCTTACAGGAAAAAGACCAACTGATGACAGCTTTGAAGACGATTACGGAATTTGTAAGTTCGTTGGCATGGCTTTGCCTGGACATGTCATGGACATTGTTGATCGATCAATGCTTTTTGAAGAAGAAAATGTCCACAATAATGACCGAGAAAACAGAAGATTATGTAGAAGAAAGAGCATTAATCAAAAACCAGGATTCTCAAGTTAGAACCACAAGTATAATAGAAGAATGGTTCTGATGTTGCAAATTGGACTCTTCTGTGCTGCAACAGGGCCAAATGAGCGTATGCCTATGACTATTGTTGTAAACAAATTGTTTGATATCAAATCCATGTTTCTTGGATTGAAATGCTGAAGTAATGGAACAGCAATAATGTGTTGACTCTCAAAGTGAATCGAAGTCATTAGATTTTTGCCTATCCAGATGTAATATTTTTATTCCACCTATAAAACGCTATTTATCTATACATTTTATTTTGTTCATTTTCGGAGTACATCTCCTTTAGAGTGTCACGTGATGCTCTCTCATTCTTTTTTTTTTTTTTTTTTTTTTTTTAAGTTTTTTATTTTTTTTTATTTTTTTCATATTTTTTTAAATTTTGTAAATATTTTTAAAAATTTAAATTTTTTAAAGTGCAATCCCCTTTATAACAACATTTTTCCTTTTTTTCTTTTTTCTTTTTAAATTATTTTATTTTTTCATATTTTTTAAAAAAAATTTTCAAAATTTTAAAATCTTATCAGTACTTTTTAAAAGATTTAAAATTTTTAAGTTGGAATCTGCTTTATACCATTTTTTCTATTTTTACTTTTTCATTTTTACCATTTTCTTTTTCCTTTTTGAAAATTTTTGAAAATTATTCTTTTGTTGATTTTAAAATTTTTTGACGTGAGATCCATTTAATATCAAGTTTATGCCACTTGTTTGCTCTATTTCTTTTTTCTTTTCTTTTTCTTTTTTATTATTGTCTTTTTTTATATATTTAATAAATACTTTTAAGATTTTAAATTTTTTTTATTTTACCCGTTTGATATCGAGAATATAGCACGCATCAAGTCATTCACTTCCTTTTCAATTTTTTTTTAAAATCTTTTTCTATTTATTTTTTTATCTTTGTTTTTCCCTTTCTAATATTTAATAATTTTTTAAAAAATATATGAACATTTTTTAAAATGTGTAACCTATTTGATATTATCAATTTAATTTTTTTATTTTTTAAAATTTATAATTTTTTTTAGAAAATGATATTAGGAAGATATCGACTTTTGAATTTTGTTAGTTTATTTTCTTTTCTATTAAATTTTTTAATTTTTTATTTTATAAATCATGATATAAATTTTGCCAAAAAAAAAAAAAACACTCATCGTTACTAATGTTTTATGACAAGTCAACTTTCTTTTCTTTTTGTTTTTCCTTTCTAGTTTTTTCTTTTTATTTTAAAATTAGATCATGTTTTTGAAAAAAAAAGGATCGACCAATGCGTATAGTGACTTTTTTTTCTTGTCACCTTAATTAAATAAATTTAACAATAAAAAGAAATGGTAAATAAATTTTTTATGATTTGTCAACTGAGAGATAGTTCACAAAATAATCCGTATCTTATAAGTTTCAATTCCCTCAAATCCAATAGTTTTGTCTTTTTTTTCTTGGGATCAAATTAACTTTTTTTCAAAAATTAGAGTCAAGTCGGATGCAAGTTAAAGATGTTTCGTGTTGCCTAGGTATATATAAATATTTATTTTATTATTAATTTAATTATATATATATATTAATAAAATTATTATTTATTATTTTAATTTAATAAATTCATGTGTCATTCTCATTTGGTTTTACTTTTTTCTTTTTTTTTTAACCACCATTTTCTTTGTTGTTTTCAATGGATGCAACAATAACGAAACAACTTGTATTCTATGGATTCCAATTTGTCTCGATCCAATGTATACAAGTTTTTAAAAAATTCAGGATCATATTAAGATTTTTCTTTTTTAATAAAATTAAAGTCCAACGAAAAATGAGTTTAAAGTCTTGTCTTGACATATTTAAATTTTTTTTAATTGTTTATTTTATTTTATATTTATTTATATGTATTATATTAATTAAATTATTATTTAATATCTTAATTAAATAAAAATTCTATATTTATAAATAATTAATATGTAATCTATTCATCCATTCATCCATTCTTTAAATAAATTCTACTTATTTTAACTTTATTTCACACTTATTCAAAGTGTCAATGTGATACTTTATTTTTTTTATTTTTTTGTTTTTTTAAATTTTTTTTTATTTAAGTAAATTTGTAAACAAAAACAAATTAAAGGCCTCTATTCGACAACCCAATTTGGTTTTTTCCTTTCATTTTTTATTACATAAATTTTGTAACAAAAAGAACTAATGGATAGGGAAGATAAAACAATTTGTATTTGATGGATTTCGTTTCGACTTAATCTAATTACATTTTTTTTTTGTCCTTTTTAATTTTTTTCCCCTTTTGTTTAATTTTTTATTAGATAAATTTTGTAAGAAAATAATGTCAATAGAGATGTCCATGTAGATCCTTATTTGTTTTTCTTTTCATTTTTTGTATTTTTTAATTAGATCAGTTTTATAACAAAATGAGTCATTTGATAGTGATTCATTCCATTTCAATTCGATATGAATGCTTTTGTAAAAATTAACATCAAATCAAGTCAAATCTTTTTTTAGTAGAAAACAAAAATGAGTCCAAAGTGAATTTAGGATGCTTTGTCATAAGACATATGGTCGTATATATAAAAATATATATTTTATCGTATATTTAATTTTATATTTATATATATGTATTACGTTAATAAAATTATTATTTTATATCACCTTCATTTGGTTCTTTTTTATCCTTTCATCTTTTGTTTTTTGCAATGAAAAAATCAATGAATAAGAATGACAAAACAAAATTAAAAATTAAAAATCTATATTTAATAAGACATTTTTATTTATATACAATTAAGAAATAATTTATATTAAAAAATATTTTTCATGAATCTTATGCTATTGAATTTTTTGGTCAACCTGGATAAGATTAGAATTATACATATATATGTTGGATCATGATTAGGTGTTAAAAATAATAAGATAAATCTCACATACACCTATTGTAGTATTCGACTTTCTCACTTGATCAAGTGTTAAAAATAATAAGATAAATCTTCATACACCCATTGTAGTATTCGACTTTCTTACTTTTATGGGGAATTTTATTTATACTCCATTTATTGCTCTATACATCCTACTTCTAAATACATCCCAAATTTAAAACTCAATTTTCTATTTCTATTAAATATACTCCCCCCCTCACTTTCTATTTTCCATTCCTATCATTTCTCTCTTCTTCTCTTTTCACTTTCTAAATTTGAACTTCTCATAAATGAATAATCCTAGAAAGTTTAAAACTTCTCAAATATGGATATCCAATAGGCTTTAAGGATTCTCGAATATTATTTTCGAAAAGGCTAAAAAATTCTCAGATATTCATTTTTTAAAAGACTAAAAAGTTCTCAAAAATGGATATTTGAGAATTTTTTAGTTTTCTAAGATATCTATTTCTGATAAGCTCAATTTCAATTTTAATCATTGAAAATCTTAATCATGTGCTTATGAACCCATTTACTTGATCATGTGTATGAATGGAACTAAAATTAATGTTCACAACATGCATGGCATAAACTTGTTCTTTTTCTTAAACCTTTTAAAACCTACAAACAACATTTTTTGGTTTTCTAGTTTTGCTTGGGTAAAAAGGTATTTTTCGCTTTTTTGTCTCAAGACAAAAACACTTTTATGCCTATGAATGCTTGAGAACTAACATGTCTTTTTCATTCACACATGTGATAAAGTAAGAATGGATATATCGATCACTCATGTGTATGTTTGCTAATATGAGCTCAAACGCCTTATAAAATATTGACTCTGACAACGTCATTAGTAGACTAATAAATTTTAGAGTAAGGACCTCTAATCTTTCAACCATCAACCTTTACTACCAGATTTACCATTATACTGATGACATTGTTAGTGGTTATTCGATTTTCCCATGCCAAACACTAATAAAGAGATTTATTTATTTTAGTATTATTTATTTTAAGATTAATGTATTTATTTATTTAAATTAAAATTAAACATTATTAAGAGTTTATAATTAAGTATATATTTAAACAAAAGTTCATATATTTTTGAAAATAGATTTTTAAGAATTATATTGCATTCTCAAAAATCAAAAATCCATTTTCAAAAATCATATTTCTTTCTCAGAAATGGATTTATGATAATGTAACTCTTGGAAATCCATTTTCAATATATACGAATATAGTTTTGGGGTGTATAAGCTATTGAAGGTATTTTTGTCATTTACAAAAAGTTAAAATTGGTATTTGCTATATAAATATTTTTGGAAAAAACTTTAGGGGTGTATAAAGAAATTTTTGTAATGTATTTAGAAAGCCTTTACTTTCACCCTTAGTGAATTTTTTTTCTTATTTATAACCTGGAGATTGACTTTCATTATCAAAAAGATTTACAATATTAAATAGTTAAAAGAAAGATATTAATACCTTTACTATTAATTCAAATTTTCAAATTTCATCCATGCTATAGGAAAAAAAAAAAGCTTTAAAAAAGAGTAAATAGCACTTGTGGTTTCTAAACTTTAGGTCAAATTTTATTTTGGTACCCAAACTTTAAAAAATTTTAATTTAATCCTCAATTGCCCAAATGTGTATCAATATAGTCCTTCCATCTATGAAACCGTTTAAGTTGACGGCAAATGCCAACTAGCATTATGTGATGATGTCAACTAATATCTCACATGGCAGATAAGGAACCAAAATAGAATTGTCTTAAAGTTTAAGGACCAAAATATAATTCTCACTTAATTTTAACTTAATTTTAAGTTTTGAATATTTATTTTTTATTTAAAACAAAAATCTATCTAATAATTATATAATAACAAAAAAATTTAATTTTAAATTGTATTTGCATATTTTTGCATTATATTTTTATTAGTAAAAATATTTTCAATCCTAAACTAACACCAAAATCTCCATAACCCTCCAATTCTTAGTTGAAAGCTAAAAACTCAAAAGTTTTAAGTTCATTTCCATAGCTGTTTTAAATAATCCAATTCATTAAACAAGCTTAAAACCCTAGAAAAGAAAGATATGAAACCTGTGAAAGCAAGCTTCCCTAGCTCTAATAAAACACCAACCACAAAAATTAATTGAAATCAGCTAAGGAAAAAGCAAAACATACTAAAACTAAGCATAATTAAAATGGGTTTAAAGCCAAACAATGATTAAAAAAAAAAAGAGTGGGTATAGAATGGAAGAATTTCAAGAAGAGATGGGAAATCAAAACATAAATTTTGGGAAGATGAAAAATCTATGGAACGGAAGAGTGGAAGAAAAAAAAGACAAAAGGAAATTTTCCTTGCTTTTTGTGTCCCAAGAGCGGTTTTATTCCGCATCTAATTTTTTTCTCTTTTGTCGACAAGAGTATATCACTTATTAATTATTATAATAAAATTAATAATAATTTATTATTGTAAAATTAATAAATATTCAAAACTTAAAATTAAAATAAAATAATTTATTTTTAAAATATTAAATATCTTTTATTTTTTTTAAATATATTTTGTAAAATATGTTTTATAAAAAGGAAAAAATAAAAAATTTTTAAATTATATTTTTATTTTATATGAGTATAAAGTTTTTATATTTTTTAATAGATTAATAAATTTATTTTAAAAAAGATCTAAAAATTTACATAATATTTTAAATAATATAAAGTTTATTTAATTCTTAAACCAATATAAAATTTTTACTTAATTTTTAAAATAATATATAATTTTAACAAAATTATTTTGAAATTTTCACTTAATTTTAATTTTTTAAAATATATTTTTCTATTAAAAATATTATTTTATTGATAAATTATATCTAATAAAAATTAAAAAAATATTTTCAATTATAACATTTTATAATATATTATTTGAATATAAAAATTAACTTTTTCTGAATTATTTTATCTTTCCTTTATTTATTTTTTATAAAATATATTTGAAAAAAAATAAAAGATATTTAATATTTTAAAATATAATTTTATGGATAGAAAATAATATTTTAATTATGATTTATGAGTAAAATAATATTTTCAATAGAAAATAATTTTTTTGCTTTTAAAATGATATTCAATATTTAACTTATTTTAATTAAAAAACTATTTTCTTTTAAAAACAAAAATATAACTAATAAATTATATTATAATAAAAAATATAAAAATTTAAATTTAAATTTAATGTTTTATAAAATATATATGAAATATATAAAATTTTGATATAATTTCATCTTTAATCCTTAAATTTTGAAAGAATTTTATTTTGATCTCTAAACTTTAAAAAAATTACATTTTGATCCTTCATCTATCACGTAAGATGCTAATTAACGTCATCATATGCTGCTAGTTGACATTTGCTTACAATTTAGATGGTTTCATAGATGAAAGGATTATTTTAGTACACATTTAAGCAATTGAGAACTTAATTAAAAATTTTTTAAATTTAAAAATCAAAATAAAATTTGACTCAAAATTTAAGGTGCTATTTACTAAAAAAGAAAAAGCGAAACTCAACATGATTCCACAAAGAGGTTCTGAGTTGTAGTAGGGATTTGAACCTGCTTGTTGGTGCCATCTCCACAATCTACGCCTAAAAGCCTTTAGTCCTATCAAATGGGTTATCAACCATACCAATTCACACTTTCATTCAACATTAATTCTAGCCCGTCTCATGAGCATGATCCAAATTCAAATCAAGGTTCATTGTATCAAATATTTCATCACCCATGAAGAATTCTCCAAAACAAAAAAATAAATAAATAAAACTTTTCTTTTTGTTCCCAGATAAAATCCTGCTTCTAATCTTTAGAAGTTTAAGATATTCAGATATAAAACCCTTAAATTTACCTTAAATTTAAAGAAACTCAAATCATATAATCACAAAACTAAACCAACCTCAATCATAAAAAATAAAAAATAAAAAATCTTAATTTTTATCATAAAATCTAATAAAATCAAAATCCAAAACCCTTCTTCATCGGGAAATCATTAAAACAAAGAAGTAAAACCCTAATTTCACCTCAAATATCAAGAAACCAGATCTACCCAAATTCTCAACCTCCCAAATTAAAAGAATCTTAGCATTGGATCATTAAGATGGTGACAGTGACTTAAAAAAATAATTTGTGTAGCTTTGATTTGATTTGGCTTCAAAATTATAATTGAAGGATTACGTGGGTTGATAAGAGATTGAAGGATTAAAGGTTAGGGTGAATTGGTGATAGTTAGAGAAAATGAGAGAATTGGTGATAGTTACCATTTTTAAGTAAAATTATCTATGATACATCTTTATTTGGCTCTATTTTTTTTCGGTCTTTTATTTATTTAATTTTTTTAATTATCTCTTTTAATATTTTTAACTATATTCGTAAAATTAAAATTAAAAAAACGAATATGAATTTGATAAGTTTTGAAAATGAAATGCATATATTATTCATAAATTAATTAATAAATTTTCATTTATCCATACGTTTTTTAAAATTTATAAACAATTTATACTTACGGATTTATTAAATTCATCATATACATTATTACCTACAAATAAAATTTTTTTACCTCCATCAATGCGTATATAATGTTGCTAATTATTATTAATTTTTATGTTTTCTTAGTTGCAAAAAATATTTTATATTTACGAGTTCTCAAGTGAGTGTAATTTTGCATATAGGGTAATTAAGAAAAGGAACTGAATTTGCGGTTTCAAATTTCATATACAAAATCCCAGACTCTAGCAACAGAACAAAACAGTCTCAGACATTCCAAAGTCTACAAATGAATCATAAATCTAGACAGAAAGAGGTTCATTTCCAAATTCTATTTCATGATCTTATTTAATCGCAGATACAAGAAGAAGACCTCTGACTAGCTGCAATTCTTTGAGAACATCACAAAGTTTCCTTCGCTCTCTATGTGATTCCACTGAAGAAGCAACTCCTATTCTGAGCATTTCTGTCAAGCTATCTTGCAGTTGGTCCTTTTTGATGTCTGCTAGGATATAAATGTCTTCATTTGTTATTTCCTCTTCTTCTTCCCCTCCCCCTCCCGCTACAAATAATGGATCTACAACTTCCGATATTCGTTCAGGCAATGCTGTAAAAACGAAATTATGGAGACCCAGTCCATCATTAAACATTTCAGCAGTAGGCCGCTTCCCAGTAAACATCTCTAACAGGAGTATCCCATAGCTGTATATGTCACCGTATGTTGAAACCTTATCTCTCATGGCGTACTCTACAAAACTCAAATATATGGTAGCCCTGGCAATTAGATAGATAGGCATGTAAAAGACAAAAAATTTTGGTTTTTGGATGAAAATATTATATTCTATTGCTTCATATGATCTAATCTCATCTGAGAAACAAAAATTATATTTTGTCAATTTGGATTGAAGGATCTAACTTCTAATTTTGGTGTTATATTATGTGTAAGAGGATAAATTTTTTCCAATTTTATGGTAAAAACGAGAAATGAAGGATACCTGGTGCAGCATAACCCACAGTTCCCTTCAGTCCAGCTGAGCTGCTCTGGTTCAAAAGAGACCTTCCAGTGGCTTCTAAAATGAACTTCGATCACCCGAAATCACTGACATGAGCAGTCATGTCGTTGTCAAGTAGGACGTTATTAGGCTTTAAATCATGCTGAACAATTGGGGTTTGGCAATGGTGGTGGAGATACTCTGGAGCGGAGGCAACATCAATGGAAATGTTTACTCTTTGGAGGAAACTTAAAATCCTCAGATCATCTTCCACACCATTACCAAGTGCATTTGGAAATGGATGCAACCAACTCTCCAAACTCCCCTTAGGCATGAACTCATAGACCAGAGCTTTGAATTCATTTCCTTGAAAATCAACACTTGAGCAAGCAGTTGATAGCTTTACAAGATTGCGGTGCCAAAGCTCCTTGTAGACACTCATATGTGTCCGGTCAATTGGTGTTTATTATTATTTTTTTCCTTTTTCTTAATCTATGTTGATCAAAGTTGCATAATCAAAGGGATTAATCAAATCTGCATAATCAAAGGGGTTGTCAATTCAAAATCAAATCAAATCAGACAAATTTGTAAAACTTAGGCCTAAAATCATGTTAGACAGAATTTAATCTCATGATTCAAGCCTATATTGATTCTGTTTAAATCCTAAAATCTCTACTAAGAACTAGCTATAAATGGAGTGTAAAATCACAAAGGAAGGCAGAGTTTAGTTTTAGAGGAAATCTCTCTGGGTTTAAAATTTTGGGGTTTCAAATTTTTGGGATTCTAGGTTTGAAGTTTCTAGGTTTAAAGTTGAATTTCTAGGTTTGAAGTTAAATTTTTGGGTTTGGGTAGAGTTTTTGGGTTGAAGTTTGATTTTTTCAACCAAAGCCATGATGGTCGGAGAGTGACTAAGGTGGTCGGATTTTGGGTTCATTATCATTTTTTGGGAAACTTTAAAGATTTCGACAATTGGTTGAATTTCCCAACACCGAAACCTAGAAATTTGATCGTTGTCCTTGAAGACTTAAAGAGAAGCTAGAGAAAATCCATCCTAGAGAAAGAAAGAGAAGACTAAGGCTTCTAAAGAAAGGCTGAGAAGTTTGGCCTTTATACTTGCACCAAACGACGTTGTTCTAAAGGCCCAAGATCCACGCGTCAACCCACTGACCCATGTAAGACCCATGTGTTTGACTTGATCCAATTGCAAGTTTTTTTATTTTATTTTTTAATTTATATTTTTATTTATTTTATTTATATATATTTTTTCTATTTTCTATTTCATTTTACTTTTTTTTATATTTTTTTATTCTACTTGTTTTTAAATTAAATGATTTATTTTAAATACTTTTGTAAACTTCTTTTTTTTTAAATAATAATAAAAAATTTAAAAAAATTTTTAAAAACGAATTCATAAATCCTACCAAACTATTAGAGGTTTCTTCATAAATTTAAATTTTAATGAATTCTGGCAAACTATTGGAGAATTTTATAAATTAATTATACAAAAAAATTATTAATAAAATCTTTTTTATTTTATCCTACCAAACTATTAGAGGATTTTCATCTTAAATCTTACCAAACTATTAGAAGATTTAATGAATTCTCTCAAAAATAAAATTTTATATTTTACAATAAAATCTCATTAAACTATTAGGAGATTCGCATCAAAGTAAATCCTACATAACTATTGAAGGACTTTGCTAATTATTTTCTTAGGTAAAATACATTAATAAATCTGATGACGAAGTCTCTTTAGGGTAAGGCAATAGTTTTCATGAATATTATTGAAGTGAAAAAATTATCTTAATAATCTTAAGATCAATTTTCAATAGTAAATATTTTGGTAAATTATAAACATATTTAAAGCTTAGATAATTTGAAATCAAACTGATACCATCCTTTGGATAAGTGCTGTGAGGGTGCTACAATCTTCATCATGTATAATTGCACTCCCGAATTTGAAATCTGGTTTCGTGGACTCAAATCTACTATTTAAAAATACCTAAGTCAATTTTGGGATTTCTTTTTAAATAAGATAGATTTGATCTGGTGGCCGATCACACCTAAACAAAAAATATTAGTGCTGACTCCCTAAAATCCATTCTAGCAATAGGCCACAACTCTATACATTATGATAGTTTGGCGACTCTACTAGGAAAATCAAAAGTTAAACCAATAAATGATTTCTCATTATCCAAGCTTAACCTAATAAATTTAAGATTTTTTTTCCTTGTTTGTATTTTTATTTATTTATTTATTCATTTTCATATATTTGTCATTCATTTGCATATACATAACATGAGCTCTACACCTGAGTTCTGTCCTTTAGAAAGGAGTGAAGTACCTACGCCTTCGTGAGATTTTATATCTCCACATGAGCTAGTGAAATACTCTCACTTAGATTGAACTATTTCTACTTATAGCCTATAATGGGCAAAGATCAAGGTGCCTTACTAGTTTGTGATAGACAATGATGTAAGAAACAGTTTCGCAACCTTTTAGAAATGATCTAAGCTATATATAGTAAAGCTTAACCCATAGGTAGAGCCATGTCCTTTTGCTTTTTATAGTTAATCTAAAATTTAAAGTCATTTACTTGCTTTATAGTGTTTATTTTTTATTTTATATTGAAGTGATTAACCGATTTTCTTGTCTTTGTTTTTGCTTTTCTTCTTATGCATATTCATAAACATACATGTAGATTGTATATTATTCCTGCCTTTAAGATATTTTCAATAACAGCTTTCATGGAACCCACAGAACATCAAGTTTGTGCCTCATTTGTATTTTTCAAATGTAATTTGCCCATGGATATGAAGCTAAAGTCCAAAAGGAAGCAGCGAGAAGAAGAGGATTGTTTATCGCCTAGTTATGTCTCTACCTTATCTAAGGAAGTTCGGTTGCTCCTTAAATAAAATGACCGAAAAGACCTATTAGACATATGGAATAACATGATTCTTTCAAAGCAGCAAACTTTTTGTTAGAAGTTTGGGCATGTTGCACACTCTTGTTAATGAGGGTTGAAATTTCACTCATTAAAGCTATGATACAATTTTAAGATCCTTCTTATTGTTGTTTCAACTTTAATAAAGTCAATTTGGTACCAATAATAGAGAAGTATTCAATTCTAGTTGGTATGCATCTTTAGTATCTAGACAAAGTATACATTAAGAAACAAAAATCAGGATATTGCAAAAAGTTGGCTCACATTCTAAGGATAGAAAAGGAGCTCATAGATTCACATATCCAAGAAAAGAGAGAGCATAAGGGTATTCCATAGGAGTTTCTTTGAGATTTCATTATCAAACACCCTAATGATGATTAAAGAATGAATGTGTTTGCTCTAGCAATATATAAGATAAACATTTTCCCTAAGATCTTAGGCCATATTGAGATAAAAGTGGTGGATTTATTTGAACAGATTGAAAGAGGATGTAATCTTTCACAGGTGATATTGGCAGAAACTATCATATCTTTGAAATTTTGTAGATAAAATGATAAAGCATGTTTTTTGGGTTGCACACCACTATTGTATTTATGGATGAAAAGTCATTTTTAAGTACAAGAAGAGTGCTTTCTTCGAACTTTATTTTCACAATCAAAATCCAGTTAAAGAATTTTGTGAAAGTGAATGGCCACCCAAAAAGAATGGGAATGTTTTCTGCAAAAGCTTATAGTTTGTCAAGTGAAATGGTTGGCTCCATGAATGAACTAAGAACCTATACTGTATCAATGTTAAAATGAGATAGGGGTTTTACTCTTAGGCTTATGAGGGTCAACAAGTTATGCACTATTAATGGTAAAAAAATAATATAGAGCTAAATAGTTTGTTCTTATGACACACAAGCTCAACCAATTGACTGCTTATATAAAGAACGTAAAACCTTTCAAAAAATTTATAGCATAATCAAGGCATGAAAAAAGCCCAAAAAGATGAGCCATAGACCATTTACTGATAAAGTCACTTAGGGATATTTGATCTAAAGAGCCAAAAGAAGCAAAAAAGTCATGCTTATATTCGAAGACCATCGCCAATTAGTGAATCAGGAATTGAATAATGTGCCCTCAAAGCTAGAACTTGCAGAGAAGAGGTTTGAAGTCGAAAGAGATAAAATTAAACAAGAAATTCTAAGGCTTTAAAAAGAAAAGGGACAATAGAAGGACAAAGTAAAAAAGTTAAAAATTCAAATCTATAAGATTTTCAAGGAGTGCGACACGATAGTTAAGGATCAACAACATAAGAGATTAAAGACTAAGAACAAGACTCAAAAGGTTGTTAGAGAACATGACAATGCCCTTAAGAAGATTATAGAGCTACAACAAAAACACAAGAGGATGCACATATTGATGTAGGCCAAAGAAATAAATAACACAGATTTGACTTTTAAAAATGAAAAACTAGAAAGAGAATATTTCCAAATGAAGGATGATTATGTTGAAGCTCAGTAAGAAAATGAAATGCTTAGAAAGTAAATCTAAACATTGAAGTAAAAATTGAATGAGCAAAGAAATCATATCCTGGCACTTACAGAAAGGCACAGAGAATTGTCTTATCGGGTATGGTTTGTCAAAAGAGAAGGATTAGGAAGATAAAGATACATAGGGCATCTTGCAACCTAGTAGTCAAAGCAGTGATTAAGGCAGAATAAATGACAAAGAAGGCTGAGACATTGAGAGCATTAGTCATACCAACTAGAGAGCATGGCCAGCAACTGCTGAACTTTATTGAGGAAGCTAAGATCAGTGTGAGCAAATTACGTGCGTTTACAAGGGGAAAGTATTAGATTTAATATAAAACAATTTTTTGTAGAATAAATGAAAGTTCACTTTTGTTGAAATCTTTAAATGGGTAAATATTTTTTCTTTTTCATGCATTACATTACATTCATCCATGACCATTTTTTGATCATGTCAAATCATGTCAAGATCACTAATTCTAGATTGTGGTGCAAAGGTGTAAAAGTAGCTCAACATTCGTATAACACCTAAGCTTAAGCTAGAAAGACGGAGCAAGACAATGCAAACCATTTTAAATGGTAAAAAAGGCTTAAGAGGAACTCAAGAGAGAACTAAGCAAGATCCTTGAAGCTCTGGATAAGATAAATAAAGAAAATACGATGAAAAAAGTCGAGCCAATCCAAATCTCTAATCCGAATGAGGTGAAAGAAAAATTGAAGTTGAAGACGGTTGTATCCTTAGAAGATCCTAAGATTGATCATATAATGAACATGATTGAGAAAAAATTGTAGGCTATAGATGGCATTGACTTCTAGGGATCCATGGACATTGCAATGCTTTGTCTTGTACCAAATGTGATAATACCCTTAAAGTTCAAAGTGCCAAAGTTTGAAAGGTACAACGATACTAAGTGTCTTATTACACATGTCACGATGTATTTTCATAAGATGGCAGCATATGCTAGCAATGAAAAATGCATGCATT